TCCCGGCACGGCGTGTCATCCGCTCGCACTGCCCCGGCCCCGGCCCCGGCCCCGGCCCCGGCCCCGGCCCCGGCCCGCACCGCAGACAAAGCACAGGAGCAGCACTAATAACGGGAAGGCTCCTTCAGCTCCCGCGATTTCTTGTTATTTGCTGCTTCCCCCTCCCCAGCCCCTCGCATCCCGCAAGGACTGTGCTGTAGAGCAGGGGAGCGATCTAGAGAGAGCTAGTTATTATCTACAGCTATCACCCACCCAGCCAGCTTGCTCTATATAGCCATGCTATCTACCCACCGATCTGTCTGCCTGCCTGCCTGGCTGTCCAGTGTGCCATGGGTTTGTAATCACTCGCAGGTATCTCTCTCTCAGATTCATCCATCTATCTATCCATCTCTCTGTCTCTCACAGGTTCCTCTCTCTCAGGTATCTATCTATCTATCTAATGTGCCATTTCTTTTGTAATCACTCTCAAATTCCAGCTTGGAGAGGCCATATGGACAAAATCCAGCCTCTAGTGGGGAAAGAAGATCCTGGCCCTGAAACTGCCAACCAAGCTGACTTCTCACTTGCATGGCAGCACTCCCAGACAGCACTCTGCATCAACCCATTCTCCAGAGTCAAATGCCTACAGGTATTTAGATAGATAGCCATATAGATACATATGCATATAGCTACATATCTATATTTACATCTATATAGACATATATCTAGTTGTTTAGCTATCTATCTAGAGATATGTCTATATATAGTGATACAGCTATATATTTCAGTATGTAGCTATATAGCTACAAATATAGCTATACAGATATCTGTGTATGTGTGTATGTATATATACACACATACATATATACACACATATATATAAAGCTATATATAGATAGAGCTATAGATATCTCTAGATATCTACATATAGCTATCTAGATAGATAGCTATATAACAATCTAGATAGCCATCTAGCTACATAGCTATATATGGACATCTATATAGATAGATATCTCGATATATAGAAAACATATATTACTATCTATCTAGATATCTATATAGATAGATATCTGTATAGATATATATCTTGATACCTCTAAAGCTATATATCTTGATATCTCTATAGATAATATCTAAATATATATCTATATTGATATATAGCTATGGGCCCTTGACTACGGAGAACAGGTTAGCACAGGACTGGGGAGGAATTTATTAGCACAATTATGGCTCAGGGATATTTGACAGCCTCTCTGCTGATCAGCTGAGCTGCTGAAAGGAAAAAAGACTGCTGCAGCTTTTGTGTGGGAGCATCTGAACTGCTTCAATATGGGGCACATGATCCCCTCCCTACCACCCGCCCCCCAGCTCAATGCGTCCCCTCCAGCCAGCATCCAACTCAGTCCTGTTCCCAATCTGGGCTGCATGCAACAATGCAGAGAGAAAGAGCCACTGAAAACAAAACGCTTCCCAGACATCACACCCCTGTTATCCAGTTGAAAAGCCCGTCCCTGTTTTGCCCAGCTGAATGCATCTAAAAGCAACTGTTCTGCACCCAACCGAGAGAAGGACATTTACCTCTTTGCTAGGTGGCTATTAATATGCAGCAAAATTATAGCTGTACAAGCCCAGATGCAATCGCCCTACCTCATGTAGGGCAGATCCAGCAATTCAACTGCTGGAAACGCACGCTTTGTGAATAATGTGTGTGTGGCACAATGCCCCATACTACAATAACCAGAAAGGAGACAGAAGTGGCTTGTACTGGCTGTAATTACTAATCCTATACATGAAAAATAAACAGGCAATAAACATAAACTTGTGAGACAGTATGAAATAGTCTAATCAATTTTGTAGAGAGTCAGACCAACAGATTCTGTCTCACACAGGTGATTTTCTAAAATTAATCATTTTCAAATGTAGTATTTTCAGTCACTCCCTTTAGAACAAAACCAAAAATATTCTACTTACAAAATACAATTCTCCAGGCTTGCAAGTGCCAGATAACTACTTTACAAACCAAAAGATGCTAAAGATACAAAGTGGGGAAAAAATATTGGCCTTATGAAGTATTATGTTGAAGCCCTTGGAATCCCTCTCCCTTCGGAAGTCAACACCTGCCTTTAAAATGGACTGCTGAATGGCATCAGACTGTAAGAATATAGCAAGCAATGAGCCACAACAGGGTGTGCATTAGCGGGCTGTTGGTGCACGCCTTGAGTGATCGGAGGCATTCAGCCAAGTACACCAAAAGCCTACAATACTAATGTACCTCCTGATGTGGCTTATTCCTATTAGCATGGTGTAGAGCTCCTTCCATTTTAAATTTCATTATTTAACATAGCCTTACACTGTAAAATATAACTTGTGGAACAAGCAAAAATAGCAGAAAGAAGGTTATAAGCAAGCCTTGCTGTATTGAAGAGTTGGCTGTTACAGTACAAAGTAGCAAGCATCAAAATTATACTATACAGAGACAGAGCAGGGGTCCATCTCTTCGCTTTTAAAATGTTCACACTGCCTTATTATAGACCAACTATTACCCTCCCAAATATCAATGAGATGTAGATGCAGAGGCCTGATCCATATATGATACAACTCTCATTTATCCCAGAGCAGGCCATTTGTTTAACAATTCTGCTGGCCAACTTCCCCCAAAGCAGGCTATCCAGCAGAGCACTGATAATTCAAATACTGCATTAGGATGCTGAAGAATCACTCCTTTCTTAAGCAGACACTCTGCAACACCCACCTGCCTGCAAAGCAGGAGAGGGGGAGGCATGATAATTAGGGTTGAGCAGTAGATGTTGGAAGGGGGTAGGTGGTAGATGGGTATGCAAAATAGCAATGTGTCCTGAGCTACTTCCTTCCCCAGAGGTTGCTTCACTTAATTCCAATGAGAGAGGTGGAAATGTATGGGCATTACGTATGTATGTTATGTACATACCCTGCAGACTTGGCAGTCTGTTCCATCGAACCTTGTACATCAGAACCTAGCAGAGACAGTCTGTTGCCGTTATTGCTGACTTCCCACCATTTGGTAAAAATTGTTTGTTAAATGCTAGAGAAAAAAATGCCAGCTAGAGCAACTAATGTGAGGTACTTGGAAAAATGGGATTTGTACATAATACTTGTGCCAGCCCCTGAACTACAAGTTCAAGACCCAAGGATGGTGACTGGGATCATAATCAACATCTACAGAACAAGAAACAATAATCTCCTTTTGCCCGAGAAGCCTTGCCTAGACCTTCTCATAGCCAAAAGAACACGGGAAAGTCTTGAATCACTATATCTCACTTCGTAGGCTTTTTCCTGCACAAAGGAAAATCTCCATTTCAGAGAAATGCGACATTGTCTGCTGCTCCACATACGAACTTGTAACACAGTGGGCATATTTACATGAGATGCTTCAAGCACAGTAGGCTAATTCTATTGCGCATTAATGCAGCATGCAAAACCCATGCTAATGCAGCAATGTGCAGTAGAATTAGTCTACTACACATTAACATCACAAAAAAAGCACGTGCAGGTGGTTTTGTGCAGTAGTGCCGATTACAGCGCATTAATTTAGTACCTGTAATTACTGGTACTCAACTTAATGTGCTCTAATTATAGCACATTAATGAATGTGTAGGCGTGCCCAGGGAGAAAAGCTTTCCCTTGGTTAAGGACATGACTTTCAGTAAGTCAACAGAAGTCAGGTCTGTAAGCAAATGTGTTTATCCAGTCAGACTTTTTCAGAAGGCTGTAAAACCAACTCCGGTCCCCTGCCCAACCTGTATTTAGATATATGTTTAAATTATATTGAGCTTTAGTTTTCAGTACTGGGACCTTAAATTCAATATGTTAAATGGCCTGCAGGCCCTATTAACTAGGGCTACAGACCATGTGGGTAGACCAGTTTGCAAACTGGGCCATAAACAAACCCAAACATGTAGTCCTTCCATAACCAAAACAGCAGTGGAAGCTTCTGGTTGAAAACGGACTAGATTCAGTATATGGGCTGATATTTTCAAAACAAAGAACCAAGTTATTTTACTTGTGTGCTTTGTGTGTTATACATACATATATGTAAAAAAAGTTGTGTGTCTTCCAAAGCATAACTGAGTCTGGAAACTTGTGTCAAGATAAACATGCACAAGGATTCATGTCTTTAACCCCTGAACCACTATTTAGTTATTTCATAAAACAACGTTTAATATGGTATCATGAACTTGCATTACTGGTCTGGTTACACATAGCCTCAGGCATCAGTCATTTTTCAGTGAAAGGAGGGTAATTTGCAAACTGTGGTGATTGGAGGCATATAATGATTTGGTTTAGGATTCTGTAATTAAATCACTCGATAATTAATACATTGCAACATAATATTCTGAAAAAAAGAGTGTTGTTTTTCTTTTAAGTTTTTATGTTTCAAGTTCTAAAAGTTCTAACAAATTTACCATATTCAAAACAGACTTAGAAAGGTCAACATCATATTCAAAATGACCATTAGAAATGCATGAATATAATTAAATACAGTTTTCTTTTTAAATACTTTTCAGGTGGAGCTGACATGTTTATTCTAGCACAATGATTAGCACCCCATGGACAATGAGCAAAGCCATTTGTGTGCAGCTTGCTGTGGTTTTGAGGATCTAAAGGAAAACTAAGATCTAATCTTCCTCCCACTGAAGTCAATGATAGCTTTGTAAAGGACTCCATTGGTTTAGGATCAGTCCCCCAATCTATAAAGTAGCTCTGCTTGAAGGAATAATAAATTAAACCTTTTTTAAAAATTAACAACAGCAACAGTACTACTACTAATAATAATGTGATCTGCTGCTGAAAAGGCTAAGGAAGGTATTTTTCCCACCCAGTGAAAATCATCATTTCTTTCTGACATTTTAAAATCCCCTTTAAGTTTCTCTCGGAGATCCCAAATGGTTGATGTAATAAATCTGTATCTTCTGAAAACATGTTCCCTTAATGCCTATCTTCAGACACATAGCCCAACACCCTCCAGGGTACTGCCTGTGATCTCTCAGAGCCAGAAGCTGCCATCCTTACTCAGCCAGAACTCTCAAAGGAATCAGTAATAATTTGAGCCCTAGCATTAAAAGCTGGGTGCAAATAGCCTATTGCACAGTGTTTCGTGGGTTCTGTGTATGTCTGGAGTAGCTGTAGATTGTCAGACTAGATTATCCATTTTCTCTCCAGTCACCTGAAAGTCCTGGGGGCTGACATGAGGGCAGAGGTGGGACATAGTTAATGGGCTGGCTACTTAGAGGCCCCACACAGTGCTCTACTAGGTGCCTTCTGACTTAGTTAAGTTATAGACAGAGCTATAGCAGCAGGCACAGATGAAGCTGGTCAGGCACCAGCTACTCATCAGTTGCTCTGGATGCTGCACAGCCAGTAATCCCACTTCAACTGATTTTATAAAAAAGGAAGAAAAAAAAAGGAAAGCACAGGTGAACCTTTCTAAAGAAATGTCAAGAGTTTGTGAGAGACAGGGAAAAAAGAAAGCCATCAAGATTTGGGTTAGAGCAAGGCCAGATGCAAGAGTAGGGGAAAGGTGACTAGAAGGCAACAGGATGGATGCTGGAAGGAGAAAGAGACAAACAATTCAGCTGGATGGTAATCTGGTGACTTTCAAGAAACTGGTGGTTGCACAATACCTAACCATTTTAGAGTGGTGTGTATCAAAGCAAGAGAAGGGTAGGCCAAGAGGCTGAGGAAAATCAAGAATCTAAGCTAACAAGGCTTCATGGTGTCTCAGATAAGCCAGGATCTCAGGCTCATCGTGGAAGCCAGTATGTCCCAAAGTGTGGAACTGAAGGCAGACATGCAGGAGTCACAATTTCTTCATCTCCATTTGGCTCATTATGCATGGTCCTTAGGAAATTTGGTACCAATCCTTCCAGAAGATCCCATGTGACACCACGGGCACCCGATTCTTGGTTTCCCCTGAGGAGCCTTGTTCAGATTACAGAAGAGATGACTGACCCACAGCTGGAAGGGCAGGCTTTGATGGTGTCTTTCAACCACACTTTTGCTTTGGTACAATTGTGTTTTGAAGTCTGATGTAATGGAAGCCACTAATGGATCTGCTCTAGCCTTTTGCATTTTCTTTCTCCTGAGCTGCATAAGCAGAAAATGAGTCTGGACTAGAAGACTGTCTGTTGGCTGAGCTCTTCTCCTAGGGGGACAGATAGACATGCAGATAGGTAGACTTATTTCTCTATTATGACTTCATATAAAGAGAGTGACGGATGTGTATCCTCTACACAGCAATGTTGATGATACAACTGCAACATTCTGGACAAGGATCACAGATCAAGATTGAAATGGTTGTGAGTTTACTTGGTAGGGAATCGTGTGACACTGAATAGTGACCATGATGTTATGAGGAAGGCAAAGGGTTTTTAAGGATGTATACCTATGAGTAGTGAGAGTGCATGCATGTGTCAAGACCTGTCAGCACAGCAAAAGAGGTTGGAAATACTTGTTTTCCCTTTGGCTCTTTTGCCCCGCTCCCCGTGGTAATGTTCACCCAAATGTCCTGTTCTTTTTTTGTGGCTACACTGAAGCTGAAGTGCATCTCTGCTCTGTTTCTGTCCAGGCAGATGTACTGGCAGATGTTCTGTCCAGGCAGATGTAGCCAGAGCACTGTCTACTTGTATGCTAGAGTGAGATTGAACCTCCCTGCTTTCAGTGACACCAGATAACACTGTGTAAGATTAGAGATTGGTGATCTTCATATTAGCACGCTTTCCATGTTGACTGATTTGCATTCTGTTAATAAGAAAGCCGTACTACTCCTCTTCCTATTTATGTACTTCTTTATGTAGGAACACTTCTTAGTCTCATACAGTGTTCCCAGGCAAAATATTTGTTCTCCTTTTAGTAATCTGACACACAGAAGCAGACAGCAGTTCTTAAATGAAGTCCACTTTTACTATTGCTTTAGCTGTTCTTTCTCTGAATAGGCAATATAAATTAGTTATTACCAGAGTCCTCCTGTCCAGTGCTGCTGCCTGCCTGGCACCAGTTGCCACACATAGCTTTGAATGGAAGTTGCTGCACAACCACTGTTAAGGGTCTAAGCACATTTCTGGTGTAGCAAGTTGACCAGCAGTTTTGAGTGCATTGGACACAGGTTTTCTTTCCTGACCTCTGCTGAAGCTTGCACTCAGCATAAATCCTGCCGTTATTCTGCTGCCATCTAAAGACAACTTCAGAGCGAGGCTGGCTGGTGATCTGTATATAGTACAGGGTAGGTTTCAAGTGGGCAGAAGATTGCTTAGCTTCCCTAGTTATTGTTGCTGTTACAGTGGGCCAGATCTTCAGAACACTCCTGCACTACTTATCCTCCCCTAAATCCCAGGGAGGTCAAAAGAGAATATGCACTTGCTGCATACCTAAATCACCCCCTTTGAAATTTCCCTTGGATGTCTCGCCCTGTGAGCGTCTACATATAGAAACAACTAATCTGTTCTAAAATGGGTGTTTAGCATCTTTGCAGCCTTACAGATTTTTCCCACTGATTTCAGTGAGTGCAGGATCAGGCCCTCACATATCAATTTTATTCTTTAGAGGCGTGATGGTCCTACAAACCTTGAGTATGAGTGGGGTCTTTGTTAAATACGAAGTGCAAGGATGAACTCTGGATCTTCTTGAACGTGGGCTGAGCCTTTATAACAGCTCTTGTTGTAGAGGATCCTGACCACAATAGCTCAGACAGTTGGCTGCATTACTTCCTCATGGTCTTGCGTGCCATCCCATAATGCAAAGCCTTCTGTAATGCAATTCTGGGGCTAGCACCAGCTGGGGAAACTGGGTAACACAGCTTCACTAGCACTTGAGAGTCAATGCCGAAGTGAAATCCTAGAGTCTCTGAGTAGTTTTTTCCTTATCTCATGCTGAGTCTCTAGGATTCTGAGCCTGGAAGGTGGCCTAGGGTATATTACGTGAAATATACCCATGAGAAAAACATGTGCCAACTTGCTAAATGGGTGCATATTCCTTTAAAGAGAGTTAAAAAAAATCCCCATTTTAGGCTTTCTGCTGTGAGTTCATATATGGAAAAGGATGACTGGCCTCTCTCTATTTACTCTGCCCTCATTCAGGTAACACTGCTATTGAACAGAGAGAAGTAGGTAGTTTGGTTAGTCTCAAGGCAGACAGAAGGCAGGGCAGAGCTGCACCTCAGACTAACTAATTCAGAGATGCATAAGCTTTCACAAGCAACAGGTAGTTGCTCAGTATTTGATGGAGTGAGCTGTTGCTTGTGAAAGCTTATGCATCTCTGAATTAGTTCATCCATGAGGTGCAACTCTGTCCTGCTTTCTACTCCCATTGAAGTTAATCATATTTTTTCCTCAGGTAGGACATACTGAAAAGCAGGTAAGATTTTCAAGATTTATCCTCTTATATTTGTAGATGCTGTAATCCCAAATAGTCAAATTGTAACAGCAGTAATGGATTATCTGGGAGTTTAAAAAATCATTAATCATATAGTTAATCTTAACAAGGATGATCCAGTCAGATTGTAAAATTATCAACAAGCTGTTACAGAAACTGCACATGGACCAATATAAAATCCCATGGTCCCTGTAGAAAGGGAATTGCAACCAAAATGTTAAAAGAATGAAGTTTCCATCTGTATAAAAATACAACAGCCGCCTTCCCCACCCTCATGACCTTCACTCAATATTCTGGTTACTTTGAAGAGCAGAAAGTAATAGAAAGGTGAAATCAAATGGTGATCATGAACTCCACACTGGAGATTACATGATTCTTCACAATGGAGGAAAGCTTTGCTGACGTACAATTTTCCTGCATGGGCCGTGTGAGATGAAGCCGTTGCTCAGAGTACCATACTGTATATGTCAAATCATACAGAGATGAGCTGAAAGATCAGAAGCAATCTGGAATCAAGAAAGACTGCACTGCATCATGCTTTCCAAAACCAGCACTTTGCAGGCTGCTAGTGGGAACATATCTGCCAGCCTCTCCATTCCTGTGTATGTACCACCAAGTCAGTTTTGTTTATCCCCAGTAAAATAATAATAATAATTTTAAAAGGCCATAATGCAGTATTACTCCTGCACTGACCTGTCACACCACGTGCACAACCACTAAGCAGTAGCCCTTACAGTCAGTGCATAGCAACCCTAAGCTACACGATATGTTAGTACCTTCTTTAACACTTACAGTAAAGGTATGGTACACAAAGGTGCTGGTAACCCACAAGACTACTAAAAACATGTCTGTTTTTACATGGCAAGGAAATTACATGGTTTCCACTTGGACGTAGTGATTAAAATCCCAATCTGAGAAGCATTTAAGAGGGACCATCAGAACTGCCATACTGACTCAGGGCAATGGTCCCTCTGGTCCACTGGATGACCTCCATTATGGTCTATCGTATCTCGTGACCATTACACCCTGGTGTGCTTGCATCAGTCTAAATCACTTAGTCACATTCCACCCCCCTCCTATTACCAGCACACTGGAATCAGCTTCCCTCTTCAGGGACTACAGCTCATTTCCAAAGAGCCTAACATAAAATGAGTTTGATTGGTATCATCTCAGCAATTCACACGGTTTCTCCTGAACAACTTGGAGGAGACTTTCATGTCTGTTAGTCTATTGAAGAGGAGTCACTATAAAGAATGAACAACTGCTATTGTCAAAATTGGATCTGCTAGTCGCAAAGTGACACTGGCATATTGTAACACCTTAAACACAAAACACAGAGAGATACTTTTTTGCCACTACTGACA